TTTGAGCAAGGGAAACCTTTACCTTTTGGCTGTGCTTAAGGCAATTCCTCTTCAGATAAAACCATGCAAAGCGAATTAGATCCTTTTAGCCAACCACCATAATAACTGCTACAGTTGAAGAGAAGATCGAGGGATATAGAATATCCAATCTGGGTACTGAGCCGTTGCTGAAAATGTAGCTGGCCCTATAATGCTGTCTATCTATCTAGCCTTTTAAAAAAAATTAAACTCCGCCGCTATTTTGCTATCTCATTGCCAGGGGCCGTGGAACCCTGATGCATCTCTTGAGTGAAGAAAGCAAGGGTTCCTGTTTAAGCCAGGCTTGTAGTGTTGATAAATGTAAAGATTTCTTGTTCCCACAAACGTTTGGCCTTTATAGACTTCACATCTCTCCCTTATCAAAGTAGTAGAAAGTAGTTTCTGAACTTAAAAAGGGAGACCAATGATACCGAACGACGTCATGGCAGACTCAAAACTTTCAGCTTCTCATTTTTCTTCGTAAATATTTTTAACGTTTGCTCTGTCACTGATGCTCTTCAGTGAGAGGGGTCTGTTTTCTAAGGTCTTGATTTTTTTATATTCTGTCCCAGGTGTGCCGTGGAGAAAGACCAAAGAGCACGCGTTGCCCGTTGTTCGAAGGAAGTCTGTGCCGAAATCGTGGGTGTGTTTCTAGAAGAAGAGATATTCCACTGCGCTAAGGAAACGCTGCAGGAACTCCAGTGCTTCTGCAAATACTTACAGCGGTAGGTGGAAAGAGGCCATGCCGGCAGATTGGCCTGCGATTGGCCCTTGCAAAAGGGGTTTGCCTGTGTGATCCAGTCTGACAGCCACTGGGGTCGGTAGTGGCGGGAAATAACCCCTCATTTGGCTGCTCCGATGCACCACAGGGGGTTGCCAGCAGACAAATCCTTGGGTGGACTTTGGAGACGGCAGATTTGTATTCTAGCAAGTGGAAATGACCTGCTCACCAAAGCCAGTTTTCCAGGCCTTTCCAATGGCAGCTTGTTAGCACAAATCAGTTGTGTTGTCTATGAGCGTTTTGCTTGAGAGGGACATTTGCCCATTTTTGTGGTGGTGAAGACTTGCCTGTGACTCTCTCTCCCATTCTATTTGGGGTAGAATTGTTTTGCTCAGAAAGTGTATGGGGAGGATGAGGAGCATACTTTTATTCATCAAACGGTTTCAGCCAATCGGAATACCCGATTCTGAAAATGGTATCCCGAGAGAGGTGGCTGCCGGAATAGTATGGTGTTGCTTGGGTACATTGTTCGACGGGATCATGTGCAGCCACTAACACCAGCCTCTCAGGGGCAACACGATTGGGCACAGCCAACCACGGGACACCTAACTCTCACCTCCTACAATTCTATTGGCCAGTAGCAGCAGACATGTTGCCAGGACTTTGAAGGCACGCCCTTAAGTGGGCGGAGCACCTGTCACTTTTTAAAATCTGTGATTCTGATTGGCTGAACCCCCATCTGAGGAGTACAGGCATGCCCCTCATCCTCCTTATATGGTCTCAAGAGTCTGTGAAGAGTTGTACGGTCTGCTGGTGGATTCAGTTGCGCCCCTCCCTGTTTCATGTCCAGGTTGCATGACTGATTTTGAATATCACATAGTGGGCTTTGCGAAGCCATTAGGCTGCTCTCAGACAGTTCCACAGTGCATTATGTATCTCTCTTAAAATGTCCATCTATGGATTGCTTAATAAAGGTTTTTTCTCCATGAATAATAATCGAGGAAGGGGGAAGATGGAATCTATGGGCTGCATCCCGTGAACTGTGAGTGGCAGGCAAGCAGTCACTCAGGCAGGTTTTCCCTGGCCTTTCTCCCAGCAACCCCCTGGAAAAACTGGTGCTAAGGGGTGAAGAGTCATTTTGCTCACATTGCTGAAGGCACACAGGGCTGTAGTCAGAAGGGGGCATCATTCTAAAGTCAGAAGGGGGCATCATTCTAAATTATGGTAGTTTGACTTATTATTTGGGGTTCTATTCAAAGCTTATGGAAACATTTTGTTTATTTTTGTTTAAGCCCAGACATGAATGTGATGAAGTGTGCGGGTATTAAAGTACAGTTTGGACTGTTCAGGGATTAAAATGGAATTAAATATGAATATTTTGATTAAAGTTTAAAGTAGGCTAGAGCTGATAGATGGTGGAGTTAAACTTGGATTGGATAATTACAATAGCTCCATAAGAAAGAAACAACCTTAATATGTAATGAAAGTAATTACTATAAATTTGAAATGTTGAAAATGTATAGGTATATTCGAGGGAGCAGAAATAGTATGATATATGAAAGACGTGAATAGCAATATTAGGGGGATAAAAACAAGTGAATAAGATGTTAGGATTATAGAGTAATATACTGGTTTGGTATGAAGTTAGATGTGCTCACAATTGGTAAATTAGGTGTATGTTTGTCGGTGTCTTTGTTTGTGTGTTTTAAGTTGTGAAAACCAATAAATATATTATTAAAAAAAAGAAAAAAAGAAGGGGGCATCAAGTCAAATCACTCCTGCTGTCGTCTGTCACTGGAGGAAGAAAGCATGGTAGTCCCAAGCAGTGTTCCCTCTAAGCTGAGTTAGTGTGAGCTAGCTCACAGTTTTTTGGCCTCCAGCTCACACATTTTTGTCTTAGCTCGGGAAGGAGGGCTCCAGAGCCAACTGATTTGTGCAGCAGCCAAATCGCTCGCCCACAACTTTTAATGCCAGTAGCTCACAAAGTAGAATTTTTGCTCACAAGACTGCACGGCTTAGAGGGAGCATTGGCTCCAAGCCTTCTGCTCGTACGAGGGGGAGAAAGGGCAGTTTCCTTCTCCTTGACACCGCCTTCTGCGACATTTGTCCACCAGGCTCTGTACAATCCCCAGAGTTGGCTTCTGAAGGAGGGGGAAGAGTGACTTCAACTTGCATTTCGTAGGCTTCGGAATCCCCCCCCCCCGAATGGATTCCCCCCAGCAAGGCATGGCTCCCAGCAGTGTGTATCTTATGCAGTTCTGCAGGGCCTGTAAGGCAGAGATGTCCCACCAGGGCTCTTGTTGGAGGGCAGCAATTGTTTTTCCCTGGTTGGCCTCCCCCCCCCCCCCCTTTCTGCATTTCTGTCCTGCGTTCCCTCTCCCCTTGCCCAGAAAATGGCCAGGTAGTCCAGCTCCGGATCAGGAAAATTTACCGGATTTTTATTCTGATTTCTTTTTACTAAATCGTATGCTGAAACTGCAGACCAGAAGGCCGGCAGTTTAGCAGTTTGAGACCCAAGTGCCGCGTGGCGGAGTGAGCTCCCGTCTCTGGCCCCAGCTCCTGCCAACCTAGCAGTTCGAAAGCAAGAAATTGCAAGTAGATAAGTAGGTACAGTTTCGGTGGGAAGGTAACAGCGTTCCGTGTGCCTCGGCGGCTAGTCATGCCAGCCACATGACCATGGAAATGTCTCTGGACAGTGCTGGCTCTTCGGCTTGGAAACGGAGATGAGCACCGCAACCCTAGAGTCGGATTCAACTGACTTTCGAGCAAGGGAAACCTTTACCTTGGAAACCTTTACCTTAGACCTTTACCTATATTGAATTTTAATGTTTGTATATTTTTATGGCATTATGCCCCTTTGTACGTTGCCCAGAGCCCCACATAAGCTGGGATAGGGCAATTAATAAATTGAATTATTAATAATAATATATCTGTAATATGTAATAGGGCTTTTAGTTACAGCCCCTTTCAAAAGCAAGTGTTGTCTTTATACTCATGAAAGAGCTCTCCCAGTTTCCTAGCTAAGAACATAAGAGAAGCCAATGTTGGATCAGGCCAATGGGCCATCCAGCCCAACACTCTGTCACACAGTGGCCAAGAATACCAAGTGCCATCAGGAGGTCCATCAGTGGGGCCACGACACTAGAAACCCTCCCACTGTTTCCTCCTCCGAAGCACCAAGAATACAGTGCATCACTTGCCCCACACTGAGAGTTCCTATCTGTACCTTGTGGCTAATAGCCACTGATGGACCTCACAGGTAAACTGCTGTATGCGTTAGGGCACGTGGCTTTTGGGAAGAAGCAAGCAACAGAAGGTCAAACTCGTTTCCAAACTACTAGCTTACTAGCATTTGGGTCTCTGAATAGACTGTTTTATACAGCTTTCTATGCAAGTATGAAGTGGCCCATGGGCAGTGTTCCCTCTAAGCTGAGTTAGTGTGAGCTAGCTCACAGTTCTTTAGCCTCCGGCTCACAGATTTTTGTCTTACCTCAGAAAGGGATGGCTCCAGAGCAAACTGATTTATGCAGTAGCCAAATTGCTCGCTCACAACTTTAATGCCAATGGCTCACATAGACTGTTTTATACAGCTTTCTGTGCCAGTATGAAGTGGCCCATGGGTGCATGTCTTCATGGTTGACTAAGTGCCCCCCCCCCCGTGCAGGTTTGACAGACACGAGGACCCCAGTTGGTAGCTACACAGGGAAGGGTTCTCAGTTCTTGCCGTGCTAAACGCCCTTTGTCTGCTGTGTTTACTTTCAGACTTGCGTGGCTACGACAGAAGACAACCCATCAAATGAAAGTGCAGCATTTTTATCAGCAGTTATTACGGTATGTTGGCGTTCCCATCATTCCCAGCAGTAAGCAAACCTGGTGGAACACTGCCCGTTAGCAGGGCAATGAAAAGGGGCCACCTGTCGAGAGATGATTTGTGGAGCGGGGTCTGCATGCTCAGGAGACTCCTCAGGTGTGCTGAAAAGCACTGCTTGTGAATCTAAAAATGTTTTAAAGTTAAAAGCATCAGTCATATTCATTGTTATGCAAGAGCTGTGGAATGTTGAGCATCAGTTGAATGGAAGAAGGAAAGGGGGGGCTGGTTGAGCCTTATACAGTCTTGGGAAGGGGGAAGAAACGGGTTAGTGTTCCCCCCCACCTGAGGATACTATAACCTCCTGGGGCTCTGACTGCTTGTGGTATGTAAAGGGTCCTGGCAGGGAGACTTATTAGAATGAGAGGGGAAAAAATGCTTCCTCCAGTCCTAATTAATTAGACTCTTCCACCCTTGCCCTGAAATTCTTTAAGCTCCGGAGCCCCGACGCTGACAATACTTTGAAAGCAGATGTGTGTGCATGTGAGAGAGCGAAAGAGACAGACTGATGTCAGTGTGCATGCTTGTTCGGGAAATGTGGGGATTTCACAGTGGGAAACTTGGGTTTAAATCAGTGACTTTTTAAGTTAAAAGAGGTTTACAGTTTTAGATAATGTAACATGCTATATTTCGATGGTTCTGTGTAGTGGTTTGGTGTAGTGGTTAAGTGTGCGGACTCTAATCTGGGAGAGCCGGGTTTGATTCCCCACTCCTCCACTTGCACCTGGCTGGATGACCTTGGGCAAGCCATAGTTTTGTCAGAGCTGTTCTCTCAAGGACAATTCTGGAAAGAGCTCTCTCAGCCCCGCCTACCTCACAGGGTGTCTCTTGTGGGGAGGGGAAGGGAAAGGAGTTTGTAAGCTGCTCTGAGACTCCCAAGTGAAGGGCAGGGTGTGAATCCAATCTCTTCTCCTCCTCCTCCAAGCGATGCAGTATGGACTCCACTGGACCTGCCATCCTTGGTGGCCGAAAATATTCCAGTGCAGCAAGAAAAAGTCTTTTGGAAGTTACTTCTGGTGCTGCCGGCCTATGAGGAATTCCCACTGGAGGATCCCAGCAGGTATGAATTGCGTGCAACGGACTCAGTTTTGTTGGCAGCTCGCTCTACTAGTGCCTTGAGAGAGATTTTGGAAGCTTTTTGCTTTGCTAAACAGCCCCCCACCCGCCCCCAGTTCGTCTAACTCTTTAGCCACATAGTCCTGGCAGCTCTCGAAGGTCTTTCGGCCTCTCCAGTTCGTCTCTATCAGCGCGCAGCTTTTCCTGCCCCTCTGCCCTTTCATGAGCTTTTTTCAGGCCCCACCTCACCCCCCTGGGCTTCAGCTTCCCACCGCTTCCTCCTCTCCTGATGCTACTTATAATGACGATTCCAGACAGGTGGCCATGTTAGTCCCTGATAGCAAAATACGGTAGCAATCCGGCAGCGTCTTCAAGACAACCGAAATTTATTCCAGCCAAAGCTTTCTCAAGTCACCGCTCACTTTGTCAGATGTCCCCGAAGAAGTATGCTCTGACTCACAAAAACGTGCACTGGAATAAATCGCGTCGGTCTTTAAGCCAAAACACGGGACTCCAGGTAAGCAGTAGGCATGTTTGGATGGAACGCGATAGTCTGTTAGCAGCCTTGACATCAGAAATGACGAGCTGTCTGGATTTAAAGGGTAATGACGGAGAAAACAGGATCAGTGGTAGCTGAGCTGCTACGATTACAAATACATCACTTTTTGAATGGTGATCTGTTGCCAGTCGGTTGAAGCGCACTCACACAAGAGCACACATGTGAAGCTGCCTTGTACTGAACCAGACCATTGGTCCATCAGGGTCAGCTCTGTCTACTCGAACTGGCAGTGGCTCTCCAGGGTGTCAGGCAGAGGTCTTTCACGTCACCTGCTACTTGATCCTTTTGACTGGAGATGCTGGGGATTGAACCTGGGACCTTCTGTAAGGCAAGCAGAGGCTCTTCCACTAAGCCATGGCCTCTCCCCATGGGGCCGCAGTGAGAAGAAACGCTTTGGAGTGGGTCCTCCATAGCATAAGCAGAGCAGTGTCCGTGTGTAAGCACAGTTCCCTGCCGGGCACCCTGAAATCATGCTTCCAGGGAACAGAGCAAGGGGCAAAGTGGGTGGGGGG